GCCTCTGACTGTGAACATTGGAGGAGAGTTTAAAACATTTTAGTAGTGCATAAAGAAGTTTCATAAAGATTAATTCTATTAAATTATCTAAATGGTGAAGACTATACAATGCTATTTTACATTTGATTATTCCATTTCTTTTCCTGAATACTGTTGCTCTCTCCAGAAAACCAGAAAACATTGTTTATTTCACTTAAATATTTTCTTAATTGTGTTTATGACTAAAGAAAATGTATAGTCATCTGGTGAAATTATATCACAATATATATGGCAGAGAAAAAAAGTATCACAATATATAATTTTTCTAATATCGTGCAGCCCTAATATATCTATGTGGTTGTGTGTATATGTGAGCAATATCACATTCGTAGCAGTGCGTTGTGGCTTTATATCAGCACTTGTGGGAGGTGTGCGTTGACAAAGCTGAGTCCTTTAGTGTCCCACTATTGATATACAGCCACATAACACTGCTATGAGTGTGATATTGCGTTTATACAACAGTTCGACGCCATAATCGTGTGTATAAAAAAGAGAATCTAACATCAAGAGACTCAAAACCCTTTGTAAGAGGAACTACTTTCTTTTGCCATTCCTTCACATCTGCAGCTGACGTCAGAACAGCAGAAATTGTTGCTTCTTCACAAATGTCACTTTAGAGCTAGTATTAGAATAATGTTTAAAGATGTAATGACAAAACAGATGCTCACATTTTAAGATCATAAGGCTGAACAGCATGACATGCCTTCCGGTCTACAGAGATTTCCCGGTATTTCTGTACAATAGGGAAATCACAATATTACTATGGTATTGATACAGCACTAAAACATACAAAAGAGAAAGATTGTTTCAGAAAGGCATTTACCAGTTTAATAATGATTTGGTCAGCTGTAGTTTGAAATTAAGCTGTTTTTCTCTTATGCGATCTTTGTCGCCATCTAGTGTTTAAACATCGTCAACCGTCTTTGCTCAACATGCTGTCTCTCAAAAAATATAAGCAGTTTAAATTAGGCACTATCCTTACAAATAAACTGCATAGTTGCAATCTAAACAAACTATATTCTCGACTAAAAACCCTCAAATATTTATCATGTTGCCTAATAGCAGCAATATTTGTCAAACTGTAGAGGATCCACTGCTTGTTGCTGTATGTGGGCGGAGTAATACACGGGGGTGAAGAGGCTGGACGAGTGCTGTTACTGGCAGAATATCACACGGCTATTAGCCAATAAGATTCAAGAACCAGACAAAACTGTTGTATAAATGTATATGTGGATTATTTTACTGTTTATTTGTATAGATTATATATTTTTATATACATGATGTACTTTTTCGTGTAAGCATTCAGTATAGTTGGTGACTGAAATGATTAATTTGTGTCTTCTCTGTTTCTCAGCTGTGGACTTCAGATAACCAGGGCGAAGGCGAAGACGCCGAGGAAGGCCAAGAAAACTAAGTCTGGCTCTGTCCGTCCTTCCCCCTGTCATTCACCTGCCATCATTCCAGCTCACCATCAAACACTGAGACCACCTCATCATCCACCTCTCTCTCTCTCTTTTAGTTCTTTTACTCTCGCGCCTTCCTTTGCTTTCTTCCTTCCCTGTCATTGTGGGTTTTTTTTCTAAGGATTTGTGTAACGGGAGGAGGGTGGGATGGGTTAATTAAGCGGGGTGGGTGGGCGCTCGAGATGCGTTGGGTCGGAACAAGGGACTGGGAGGGGATGAGGTTTTGTCTGCCTTGTTTTCTCCGTGGGTCGTTGCTTTAGCGTGGATGAATGCGGGTGAGGGCAAGTTCTCAGCTCATGCAAAGTTGCAAGTCAAACCCTTTTGTTATTCGTATACTGTATGTAAAACTCAGTTCAGGGGTCTGTGCGTTTGTCGTACAGCTGCAGTTTAGCGTCTGCATTAAATAAGCCCTTTTCTTCTAGTAGAAGTGAGGTTAGCAGTGCTAGTCTTTAGCTAGGAAAGAAGCAACTGTTTGCTCACGTCCTGTAAAATGATGGGCAAAAGAAAAAAAGGTTACATTCCATTTATTGTCATTTTCAAATTTCCAATTCCAGGAATTTGGTGCCCTGCAAGTGGCATTTATATTTTCCCCCCGTTAATCACGAGGTATGGAGGACCCAAGAACAAAGAGCACATAAGCTTGATGCTGTTACTGTATGACTGTACAAGCCGAGTAGTTGGATATACTATTGTAATTTTTGTTTTTCCAGGTATGGTTTGTTTTTATTTTCTTATTTTTTTTTCTCCATTGATTTCTTTTGATACTTGCCTAATTTGCATGTGGCTATGAAGTAGTTAATATGGGGAGGAAAGGGAGATTGTCGGGCCGGCTAGCTTTGTGTCATGTCTCTGGATTTTTTTCATACAGAACACCCAAGCATAAATGTTATTTGGAGGGAAAATATGTAATTTCATGTAAGTGGATTAAAAATAATTTAACACAATGATTTTGTAATGTGGTTTTATTTATTTATTTTAGCTTGCATGATCTTTATTGTAGTAGGATATTCTGTGCGAGGTAAAACCTTTTTAAAATGTTATCAAATAATATTAAATTGCATTAAGATGAAAATGGCAGGAGGAATGTAGTTGGTGTACTGTGTTTAGCAAGGATGAATTAAAGTAAATAAGTGAATAATGTTTGTTATTTTAAAACAGTTAAAGTTTTTAAAATATGTTTAAAAGAAAAATAGATGCAGTTCTGACAAAAAATTAAAGATTTTTTTTTTTTTTTACGTTGATAAGACATTTCTTGGGCATTAAATCAACATGTTAAAACTAGACTAATGATTTTGAAAATTAAACCTTTCATCCCAGGGAATAGATTGCCTTTTAAAATATTTAAATAAAGTTTTAGGGGCCAGCAGCATGGGGAATAGTAAAAGTTACATCTCCCTTTTTGCCTAATTTTCATGAAAATCTGATCACATCTTCAGATAACACCAACAAACTGCGTGGAGGTAACCTGTCTTCAAATTATCTGAACAAATTTGACTTGAATGCTTGTAGACATAATCCCTGTAATGCTCTGGTGTTTTCAGACATTAACTTGAGGTTACCTGCACAGTTTTTTTACAGCGCCATCTTGTGGTCAAGAGATTCAAACGTCTTTTTTTACTCAACTTCTGGACTGATCTCATTATGTGTTTGGCACATAGGTTTGGCACTATGACTACTCCGTTTTTAGCCCGAGGCTCTGCCATGTTCACCTCTTGATTCTATTTCGGTTGTGTTTGCCCCTTTCATTTGTATTTGCTATATTTTTAAATGGGAACATTGTCATGGAAAACCTGAAAAAGTCATGGAATTTTGACATATCCTTTTACAGGCATGGACAAGTTTTGTAAATAATAAATACAGGTTTAGCAAAAGTCATGGAAATCTGTTTTACAAATATCCGCATACTTGAATATTTGAGATTACATAATTTCTCTGCAAGTAGTAACAAGACAATTCAGTTTCAGAGGCGCTGTTTCTTTATTCTTATTCACTGTCATTCAAGAAACAGTTTGTGTATTGTGTTTTTGAAACAATCTCTAAACAGAGGTAAGATTCTGTTGGTGCTTAAGGAATAAATGTGTAAGCTGAAGAGACCAAATGTTTAAATCTGACTAATTTAATGTATATACATATGCAAACACACCCAAAAATGAACAGATGTGTTATGAAGTCATCTTATTTCATTCCCCTTGTCCAAGACAATTCAGTGGCCCATGGCATAATGGATTTATTTTAGTGTATTGAATTCCATGTAGAATTCTAAAACTAGCTACACCCTCCTAAAAAAAAAAAATGTTAGTTTCTGAGACTATTCTGACCAAAGATGGTAAAAGGCAATTTTGTTCTGTAAAGTTTCGTGGTGTAACTTAGCAGAAGGTTCAAATAAAGTGTTCTCCATGTCATTAATAGTAATGCTAGACAGTCAGATGGTCTAAATGTAAATTTCAGTATGAAATTACAAATTGTCAAGCACAGTGTTTCGACAATCCTCACATTTCGTATATGATCATAAGCAGGATCGAACTTTTAAGAGTTTGTTCACCCCAAAATGAAAACGTCTTCATTTGCGTATGGTCATTCTAAACCCGTATTTTCTTTTTTAACAGCTAAGGGGCGTTGTTGAGCAAGACGAGGAGTGAGATTCTAGCACAGACTGAATCTTTTGCTTTAAATTACAAGGCCTTGGTTTATTTTTATTCACTTACTCTCGTAGTAATTGTTACCAATCGAGTTATAAGAATCAGCAAGATATGGACCATTGTTTCAGCTAAAGAGAGAGTCAACAAGATGAGCTGAAGGTGAGTAAATTAACATGCACGTTTAAACTTGTTGAAAAGTCCCTTTAATATCTTCAAAAAAGTTCAGAGGAGTTTTGGAAGAAGAGACTTCTCACAGATTTGATTAAATATTGGTCACACCACAAGTCCCTATACTGAAAAAACAGCCTAAGCTGGTTAGCTGGTTAAGCAGCCTGGCTTTAGAGGCATTTTGGCCACCAGCCTGGTCTTAGCTGGTCAGGCTGGAAAATGACCAGCTAAAACCAGCTTAACCAACCTGGTTTAAGCTGGACATAGCTGGTTTTGGCAGGGCTTCCCGCCTGGCTAGGCTGTTCAAGCTGGGGTCAGCTGGTCATCTCACAGCCGGACCAGCTAAGACCAGGCTGGAAGTGGCCAAAACCCCTCTAAAACCAGCCAACCAGCCTAGGGTGGTTTGAGGTGTTTTTGTTTTCAGTAGTTGTTCCATTAGTTAAAGGCTTAGTTTTTTTCTAAATTACAATTTACTCACTAAACTCAACCTCAAATAGTTCCACACCTTTATGTAAATAAAGTTTCTTTATTCTGCTAAACACTAAGGGAGATCATTTGAAGCTGGAAACCTGTTATCATTCTGTTGAAGTAAATGTTAGTTTTTAGCTTTTTTTCAAAATGTTTGTTTTTGTGTTTGTCAGAAGAAAGAGACTCAATGGTTTGGAACAAGGGAAAGCATTTGCTGACAGAATTTTCAGTTTTGCGTAAACCATCTCTTTAATGTTAGATATTTTCCTACTACATGAAATAAGAATGAACAAAAAATGTGTACAGCATTAATTAATCATTGTTAATGTCAATGCAAGGCTGTGTGCCATGCATGTAAATATATACAATCAACATTTACTAATCCATTATTAAAATTCAAAGTTGTGCTCGTTAACATTAATGAGCTTAAGATAAGACAGAAAATTAAAGTTAACAAAGAGGAATAAATAAATGTATGATTTGACTGTTCATGTTAACTAATGTAAAGTAATTTTTGTTCTGCAGAGGAACAATTTATGAGTTTGGTAAGTATATGAGTTTTAATTTAGCGTTAATAAACTATTTAACAACATTATCGTGTAGTTAACTGCAGTGGATACACTTTTAAAAATTGTGTTGTCATGTAACCCATAACATTGTTGGGTTTGTCCATATCTCACTCAACATTGGGTTACAACAACCCAGAATTTTTAATAGTGTAGTAATGTTGGTTCGATATTAATTTGTTTTAAATTGTGTCAGTGAAAAGACGATCAACATCACCATATTATATAACCTTACAACAGCATGTGTATAATGGCACACATCAGAAAGCTCAGCTGAACCATGTGGCTCTGAATGAGGGTTTTTGAGCTGTTACACAAATGCCCCTTACAGCAGGTCAGACCCACTGCCGCTGTGTTGTTTTGGCTGATCTGGGAGGACAGGTCACCTCTGCAAAAGCTTCTGGTTGCACATCCTCTCATTGTCATCATCTGTCCCTCTGAAATGACTGTAGAAAAACGATAGGGTAAAATTCATAACAAACAAGAGGATCACAGTCTTTTATTTTGATTTAGAGGATTTGGAAAATGAAATAATGTCAGAAATACCCAGCTCATATTTCTTTTCTCACATTAAGCTGATCTAGACTGAAATATTAAAAACTTTGTGTCATTTTTTTTTTGTCATTCTTTCATCAAATAATTTTTAAAATGACCATTGTACATTTTACCATGATATACATAATACACCCACTAATTGTTAAATGTTTGCAGTCTCAATTCAAACACCCACACAATCCTAAATTATCATTTTAAACCTTTGACAATCACATCTGTACATTAAACTGTTTTTACTCAGAGGGAGCAATGGTTATGCAAGAAGGTCAATGAATCATCTGTTGAACTGCATCCCAATCCTCACAAATACTGCAGAAGGCCTATTGGAACCTGCTTGCACCCATGATTCTCACAGAAATCAGTCAAGTTTAATGAATGTAAAATCATGGTTTGGGATTACATTCAGTATGGGGGCGTGCGAGAGATCTGCAGAGTTGATAGCAACATCAACAGCCTGAGGTATCGAGACATTTTGTGGTGCCCATTACATTACAAACCACAGGAGAGGGCAAATCCTTTAGCAGGATAGTGCTCCTTCTCATACTTCAGCCTCCACATCACATTTCCTGAAAGCAAAGAAGGTCAAGGTGCTCCAGGATTGGCCAGCCCTGTAACCAGACTTGAACATTATTGAGCCTCTCTGGGGTAAGATGATGGAGGAGACAATGAAGATGAATCCAAAGAATCCTGATGAACTCTGGGAGTCCTGCAAGAACGCTTTCTTTGCCATTCGAGATGACTTTATTAATAAGTTAGTTGAGTCACCGCAGAGATGTATGGATGCAGTCCTCCAAGCTCATGGGAGTCATACACAATATTAATTGTTTTTCCACTGCACCATGACTTTATATTCTATACTGTACATTATTTTTGTTAAGTGACAAGACGTTTGTTTAAGCAAAGTCAGACCTTGCTGTCCTAATTAAATAAATAAAGATCAAGGCATGATCATATTTTATTCTGGTAAAATAATCAACTAGAAGTCCATTTACTTTTTGTTGTTCCTTAAACTTAGATAGAGCATTCCAACACAATCTCACGGCAATTCGTAACTTTTTCATTTAGTGGCTAATTCGTATGAATTCGTACGATCTAATTCGTACAATTTAGTACGATTTGCTTATCCCCCAATGACGGTTGGGGTTAGGGGTGGGGTCAGGTGCCACGCCTACTTTTTAAAATCGTACCATTTCGTACGACTGAACTCGTAAGAATTCGTACGAATTAGCCAGTAAACTGGCAAAACGTAAAATACTTACGTTTTCTCATAAGATCAGGCTGAGCATTCACAATCATGCATCAAATGAAGCTTGTATCCATTAAATATGTTTGTCAATGAGGAATTCGTTCAAGAGATTATTAAAAATGATGTTTGTCTAGTAATGATGTCATTATGAGTGAGTTATTACTCAAATGCAACTTTTACATTGTGCTAAGGATATTCAGAATAATTGCAAAAGATCTCCATTTTAAACAAAATAAATTAAAAATTGGTATTTTTAACCAGCTAAACACCTAACTCGCTGAAGTGTCCATCAGTTGTATTTTTCAAACTCCTTCATTCGAAATGGCGCTTCGAAGTAGCCAGTTTTGATTCAAATTTTTAAATTTCAATATTGCGGCCACAATTTTTTCACTCTGAAGTACCTTTTGGAGGGCAATATATCTCGTTTGAGTGTGCTAGTGCTGCACTTTATGAAAATAGAACATTATTTCACTCATATTTTGGCATTTTCAAAAAAAGTATTTGAAACAAATTAAATATGTTTTGTGTGTATACAAATTAAGAAGAAGATTCTTGGCAAGACAGTGTAAGATTATACTGTAGACTCTTGTTTTGCGTTTTATGGTACCTGTTGCTTTCACACAATGATCTTCTCCGTCAGCACAAGGTAAAGTTGATAAACAGTCTTCTCCTTTGCAAGTGTAGCAGTGCATTCCATTTGGGATTCTATTTTGGGATTCTATAAAAAAAATTGGATTGCTTGGATTACTAAATACACAACAACAAAATCCATTGACGTTATTTCTGATGCAACATAGGCTCATGATGAAAATGTAGCCCTATATAAGTTTCTGGAGATCGTAAATTATGTAGCCAGATGTACGTATAGCTGCATTTAATTTTTTAAATGATCGCTATCGTTACCAGTTTTTCCTGTTAGTTCACCATGTACATTGGCAGACTTGAGAAGCAGAGAGGAGTTCACCACAAAGACAGGGTTGGAGTTCGGTGAAGTTTGGTTTCAGAAATCAGGTAAGACAAAAACAGAATCCAAAAAGTAAAATAAAAAAGTAAATAACAGGACAAGAATGTGTAAAAATCTGATAACAGGGTAAAAATCAGACAGGAGCTTTTTTTTCTGGATTGCTTTTGAATATTGTTGGTTGGGTTTAGGGAAGAGGGTGGACAGGTCAATCAATACAATTGGTTGGGTTTAAGGAAGGAGGATGGTAGGTCAGTTGATTGATCAGTCAGTCAGTCATTCAGTCAGTCGACAGCAGCCTCTAGTGGGATATTTGAGAACAGCAGGCGAGAGAAATTTGAGATCTCAAAAAGCATACTCAGCGGTATTTGGTGGATTCACAAAAACAAAAACAGCAAAAAAAAAAAAAAAAAACGTATATCCGGGGACCTATTTGGTGCTCTCCAGAAATGTATATAGAGGTGCATTTTCAGAATGAGCCTGGGTTAGTTTGATGATGTACAGTATATGAATGAAAAATATATCCACAGTTTAAATGTCACATAACATTCTTCCTGATGTGTAAAATATGCACCTTGTTTGATCTGTTTATTGCACAGGTCAGTGTTACAGCATTCATTGTTGATGATGATCTTTGTGACTCCAAAGTTTACAGATGCAGTCACACATTCTTGAGTTGCAGAGCAGTTCTTCATAATCATATCAGAAATTGCATTGTTTCCTACAGCAGAAATGTACATTTGACTCATTTTTCAACACACAAAAAATTACGGTAACTAATTTTCATTAGAAAAATGTTCGGTCTCCTGCAGGACGTACCCAAATAAGATGTGGTTTTCATGGTCCCACACTGACCGACAGGACAATCCACTGTAGTTTCAGTACATTTAATGGAGGTCTCAGGTATGCACTGATAGCAGGTTAGAGAACTTACTGAAAGTAAAGACATTTTATTATCTATTTAATATTCAGACAACATTTTAAAAAAATATTTATTATTTTTTATTATAAATTCATACATTTAGGATGTATTTATCTAAATTATTTGAATAAAAAGGACTAAAGCAATTTGATTCAACAATAGTTGCAATAGGATGCAAACTATATAAGTGAGTTAGGGCAATAAATATAGAGAAGTATTTACACACAACCTGTTAAATGTGCTATTATAAAATAATTTATGAATAAAAAAATCCACTTAGCAGATTTATATTAAATAAATTAAATACCATATATAAAAAATAAATTAGAATAGATTGTAAAAACAGGGGGCTCGTCCGGGGTCTGAACACAGAATCTCTCACACCCAATTTGATAATCATACTCCTAGACTTCAACATTTACTAAAGCATTATTAAAATCCAAATACTTGTTAACAGAAGTTAACCCACTGTGGGTTAACAAACAAATAATCAACAGCTTCCAATAATTAATTTCAACAAAAATGAAATACTGTAATAAATGCATTGTTCATTGCATTTTTCATGTTAGTAAATATATTTACTACACTATAAAAAAATCCTGGTTGCCTTAAATTTTTAAGCTGACTCAAACTAACCTTGTGAGTCCATTGAACTTATATAATGTTTATAACTAAAACATAACTAACTTAAAACAGCTTGTGTAACTTAGAAAATTAAGTTAGAAACATGATTAACTTTGTTTACAATGATCTACAATGAATCATATAATTTTTTACAGTGTACTTACTACAACCTAATTGTAAAGTGTTACCGTAGTATAAAATGTCAGGTTTAGGCAACTAGATTAGGAATCAAACTAGAGAAAATAATAATTGTAAAGAAATAAACACATATAAAGACATGCATTCCTTAAAATAAATATTCAGTTCATTAATCTATTTTATTTTAATTCTTAAATCTTTGTTTTTACAC